CTTCGAAAATGTTTAGGATTCCCTCTACAGTGGAAAATCCAAACATTCCTAATAATCAAATATTTGTTTTGCCAGATTCGATGATATCGATCGTAAAATTTTATGAAATACTATGGCTAATTATATTATTATATAAATAAAAGAGGAGACAATTTTTGTATAATAAGCTGTTAATGTAACGTAAAAAAATGTTTAACCACATGTGCAAAACTTGTTCAACAAATCACATGTCGTTAGCCACAATATCTAAGTTAGGGATGGCCACCGATACTCGAAATTATCGAAATATCGATATTTTCCTTCCGATATTCGATATTTTACCATCGAAAGTATCTACTTCGATATTATCGATTATTAATATCGTCTCTTCGATATTTTAATTTAAAAATTAAAATTAAAACTATTGTTTTTGGAAAGAGCTAGGAATTATATATTAATCTGATCGTTATAAAAAAAAATATACTCATCGTGCCTGTTTCATATAGAGTATAGTGCTTAGTATAAAAAAACTAATATCTACTATCGATGGCCATCCTTAAGTAGAGTTGAGTAACGCGAGTGGGACCGAGTTCTCACTCAGTAAACTCAATTTGCCCTCATTTGTTAGTTAGAACATTCTCAAACCTAGGTCACAAATTGTCAAAGAAATTTATGTATGATGCTAATGGAAATTTATAGAAAAAAACTGAAGAGGGACCTGGACTAGAAAATTACTATGTATATGTATAATAACAAAATAATGTAATGTAAGAATTATGCAAATATGGATTAATTGGTGTGCTGTTTACAAAGCATCCCTATGAAGTATTGCAGTATTAATTTCAATAAAGTATTTTTCTTTCTCTCTCTCTACGAAGGAGAATCTCTCTAAGAAGAATTGATATTGCCATTACATAATTTAAAAGTAGAAAAATAACATATTTTTGATGTGCCTATGCGCTTGAGAATCTATATATATATTGATAATCATGTTTCAATAATATTTATAATATCCAATAAAATATCGATTATATTATTAAAGGCCGATGTTAATATCAATATTGGGGCTTCCATATCTCATCCCTACTATAAGTAAATATTAGATAAAAATAAATAAACAATATATATATATATATATATATATATATATATATATATATATATATATATATAGAGAGAGAGAGAGAGAGAGAGAGAATTAAAATAAAATGAAAATATTAATTTTCAAATAGAAGTAAACGTTGTTACTGTTGGCCATTAACCTATACGTGTAAGTTATGTCGTACGTCATAATATGTTTATCATATTTGGGATGATATTTTTGAAATCTCGTAGACTATCTAAACGCCCTGTATTAAATATATTCCAGAGTACCGTTTTAAAGTAGGTTATCAAAAATCAAAGTCAAATAGCTGTCTGTCATGAAGACCGAATTCCGTTCATAGAGTCAGCTTAACTTCCCCCTGCCAATTCACCTTTAAGCCCTTCACGAAACCTGACGTCCCTTTCTGGAAACTTGGAAAACCTTTCTTGAGAGCTTTTACTAAAAATTATACTGAAAGAATCGGTTCTGTGGTACTTATTTATGCATATTAGAAGAATGTGATATAGCTGGAGGTACAATTTTCCCTCTAGTGACGCCATTTGCTTATAGCCCTCCGCCAGTGGCTGATTGTATTATCATTCAATAAATAGATTTAAAAAAAAAAAAAGTGATTCCATCAGCTACGGAATCAGTTAATGATCTGTCTCTGTCATTGATTCAATCCTACTACATTTTATAAAAGATGATCTTGGGAAAGAGATTTTATTAAGTATCAGTAGGAAAAAAAGGCCTTTTTAGTCTCAATTATTAAAATACTTTATTTTAAATTTATCCAAATTTTCGCCTCTTCAGGGATAAAATCTGATTTTACAATATATTGTGCATTTTCACCTGAATAAAATATATACAAAATTCCTTTCAGAGCACTTACTAGTAGACATAGAACTCGTAATATCATTAAAAGCGAATATTAACAAGACAACAATATGTATGTAAAAAAAAAAAAAAAAAAAAACCTAAAATTACAGCAGAGCACCATATTGCACACCAAGTCATACTTCACAACAGATTGAGACCAATCCATCAGGGAAGGAGAGGCGTTGCCAACATTAAAAGATTTAAACAGTACATAAATAAAAATAATACTTTTTGTTTATTTATTAAATGTATCAAAAACTTTCTTCTTGTATTACTCGACGCTCTCGTCGAAGACTAACATAATTTCTTGACTTATAGACGTATATATATGTTCATGGATGGACATATGTCTGTTATGATGTTCCTAGAGGTTCCAGTGAAATTAGAGCTTTATAAAATTTGTATAGCTCAGCATTCCAAATTTCCACGCAAAAATATTATTTAAAACCCAACTGAAACTTTTTATGAATTCAATTTTAACATTTAAAGAAGGTTTATTTCTATATATTAAACCCATATTTTTGAGGAGGAAAATAACTACAAGGTATAATATTTATTTATCATTCGTCCACAATGACAATCAAACCAGTATCCTTTATTATTAAAACTGGCTCTGAATTTTCGATGTTTGCCCTCAATTTTTACTTTCACTTACCCATACATGCAATATATACTAAGGTTATTACTTTCATGTACCTACAAATGCAATATATAGTATGGGTAAGTATTGCGATCGTAAAAATTTTCGAGGCTGAATTTTCAACGAAAATACATGTTTTGAGGTCTCCTGAGTCCAAATAGCCAATTCCCACAAAATGGTCTATGTGTGTATGTCACCAGCCTAGCTTAAAAACGAAAAGTCGTATGAAAGTGAAATTGCATATTTAAGGTTTTTATAAGCTGTCGATGTTATAGCAACATTTTCGTCAAAATCGGCAAACCGGAAGTGGTACTTCATATAATCGGTTTAACACATTTTTCAATTTTCTCAAAAACGGCTTTAACGATTTTGATTAAACTCAGTATATCAGTGTATAATTAAGCAGTTTTTAATACAATGTAGGTTTTATTCTCATTGATGTTCTCTATCAGGGATTAAATGACTAATTTTCAATGTTGGCTTGCCCTAAAGTATCTTTATTTTTTTTTAATTTAAAATAATTAACCATTTCACATTAATCTTTGAAATAAAAAATAGCTAAATATAAAATATGAATGAATTTGATAATTAACTAAAGGAGTAATAAGAGATCGTAACGGATAATAGTTGTAATAGAGGAATCAAAGGAATACGAGCCCTCGGTTGAGCTCGCCCGAAAGATTACAACTGGCTTCCATACCTAACATGACTCCTACAATAGTATATATTACATATAACCCAACACATGCGGTTTTCATAGATGCTATCGTTGGTATTAGTTAATATTTAATTGAATAGAATACAACGATATAAAAATTAAAATTAAAATTTGTATATATTTATATTTATATTTATATATATATATAAATATATAGGATATTTAAACAAATAAAAATACCCACAATGAATTGCAAATAAATAAAACGTCAATAATTTTTACTTTCACTTCTCCCTTTGTCTGAAAATACTTATTTCTTCTAAGAAGGTGGTAAGTGAAAGTCGTGTGACGCGCGCACCAGATTTTTCATATATTGTTTGTATTTTTTTCTTTACTAATTCTTGTTTTTCTAATTAATGTCATTTTCCATGAAAAAAATCACATTGAAAAAATATTTATGATTTCAATTCATGTAGATTGCAATACCAATTATGTTATTGGAATTGTAAAAAATATTTATTGATAGTACCTATGTATTCAAACCCTGGCCAGATTTCTATTTAAAACAGTCTTTGTGAAAAGATAAGCATTAGATTTGCTATGAAATCAGCGAACATGTGGTCCTTGCCCCAGGCCGTTCTTTAATGGAATGTTCAAACAGTGCATGCTTATAGTTTCTCCCCACGTGCTATCCTCTCTACATCATAACTTTATTATATAAACAGTAATCCCTACGCTCATATCAGAAATCCAAATATTTAACTAACCTTACATGCACATTTGTTTTAAAAATATTATATAAATAAATATATATACAAACATGCAACAGTCAAGAAACAATTAAATTAAATGCATCATTTATATAATATCCGGGGTATATATATATATACCAACGGGTTTACATATTTGCTCTGATAAGCAATATTTATAATGTAAAGGTAACTGTGAAATGACAGTACAATGAGACTGATAACACTAAAATGCTGCAAGTTGGTAGAATAAATGGTGTCCAAATGAAATTAAAGATGAGGCTTTGCGAATGGAGGTGGGTAAGATATTCTAAAACAAGGTAGAAGGTCTGGTAAAGGGCTTTTCAAAGGGCCTCTTTTTGTGGACTCAGATCTTATTTTTAAAATATGGACAGAAAAACAAAGTGTTAACAGATCAAGAAGGTAATAATAAAAAAACAGATGATCAAGCAGGTAAAGTTAAAAAAATAAAACAAATTTATTGGAATTCTCCAGAATGTTCAACGATTCAAAATAGAAGTTCTTTGAATTTCTGCTGTGAGCAACAGCGTCCTTTAACCTCTGTGAAATATGAATACTCTCCTATATATTTCTTTTTAAATTATTTTTCTCTTTCTGTAACATACCAACGTTATCAAAATCAAAATCATGTTTAAATACTTTAGTGCTGAGCTAATAAAGTGTCGAGCTCCTTTCTGTTAATGTTCCTGCAATCGTATTGATGCTCATACATCCTTCTTAGCAACATTTTGGAAAACTTCACCAATATTTAACTTGGATCAATGCACTGGCCTTACTTCATATGCTACTTCAGATTGTTGCTGGGTTATTATTAACTAATTTCGAAGTTTTAGTAATATTAACTAATTATATAGGCGTACAATAGGCCTAAATGGCCTTAGTGCACTCACGCCGCAAAAAAAAAAAAAAAAAATTCGAATGATTACAAATTTCTATGCTTTTTCAGTATATTTCTTTTGATGAGAACTGATAATACCTATGGGGCAGCGTATGGCTTTCTGGGAGAGCAATCATGTAATACTGAAGAATACTCAATAATAATAGAAAATAATAAAATACATTACTAGTAATAAAAATACATGAAATGAAATGAAAATATTTTTTTTATTATCCTGGACTGTTTGATAATTGCTCCTTTAGGAAAAATTATAGATACAGAAAAAAAGCCTGTGTGGCCATACATTGAAATGAAAATGAAATGAAATGAAAAATATTTTTTTTATTTATTTACATACATACATTAAAGTAAATCTCATTAAAATTACAATATTGGAAGAAGAAAAAACAAAAACACTAAGATCATGCAGATATATATAAAACAAACATGGGAAAAAAATAACATAAGTAAATAAAATCTATATATGTCTTGAATTTTCAGAAAATTATTGCGTGGATTACAAATGATTAGCAAATTTATAAACTATATTACAGTACTTTCGGATTTAAATTCCTGGCAACGTCTGAATGACCATTCTTGAATAATAACATTTTATAATGTATAATAAATCTGTCTGATAGATTTCGATTCATTAGAATCAGGCTCTGTCTCACTGAATTGAGGTTTATAAAGGTAGGATAATATTATCCCGACGCTAAGACGAATGTTGTTGGTGAAATAAGAAATGAAACTGGGGTCAAGGAATAGCGTTTGATTGAACGAGATAGGATGAAAAAGGAAAGGGAAGAGCCACCTGGAAAGGCTGTATTCTTCCACCCTATTGGTCTTCCATTTCGAGATGCCAGAACTGTTTTACAGAAAACTGACTTCAAGTTTTCTTCCTATCCTCAATAGAGAATGCAAGGGCCTGCTTGTTTACGGAATTTCCACTAAACCTACCGCAAACATTTTTTTCTTTTTTTTTTTTTTTTTTTTTTGTTTCACAAGTTATCTATTAATTGTGTTTCACAGACAACAAAGAGCTTATGTTAATAGGAAATTAAAAATACCAACTATGACATCACATCCTAGATCGTAAGATTCATTGTACATCGATGTATTGCTGTCATTAAAGTCTCCGTTTTAAGCCTCATTTTATTCTGATGTAAACAATGGAAAGGTCTTTATTTACTTAAAAAATCTTTTTTTTATCTTCTATAACGGAATAACGTTATATCTTTACTGGTCCTTTCTGACCACTCCTGAAGCAGTAGAGCTGTTGACGGAGCGGCGGTTGAAGGTTATATTATCATATCGGAGAAGAGTTTTTATAATAACAGTCACCTCGCTATGTTTCATTTCCCTTTTTTGTTTTTTTCTTTTGTTTTTCATTAACCAAGGCTTGAAGTAACGAGAGTATTTTGTAGAGGGATTCAAATATTCCTAAATCCAACTAACATTAAATCATGGTAAGTCACTAAGTAGATTTTTCATGGAGCTAAATTTTTGTTGACGAAATTCGTCGGTATATAAACGCACTAAAAATTACAAAACGACATAAACCTTTTAAATTTTAAACATAGTTACACCAAGTAGACAATGTTTTGACTTTACAGAGGGAGGGGGAAATTCATCAAGATACTTAGTGATTTGATTATATTAAATTTTAAGGAATTGATAACTTTTTGCAATAAACCGACGTTTGACCCTGTCACTAGGCTGATATTTTCAATTCAAAACATTACAAGAAACCATCATCTTGTAGATATTGGGTAGGCTGGTTAATATTTTATGGTACAGACATAGCCTAACCTTCTAATTCAACCACTGAAGTGAGCAGTTTCAGCTAAATACACAAGCATAAAGGATTGACAATAGTGGAACAGTACCTTTAAGCGCAATATCTATTCCTTTCTTAAACTAACTAATTAAAATTAAAATTTTGCCTTTTTTATTTAATTTTTTATTTGTTTATTCAGAAATATTACATTCTGTCACATCAAGGACATTTATAATAGTGTTCAGAGAGCACACTCACACTTTATAATATGATTAAATATATGATAAAATATATTTTTTTTTTTCAGGAATGCTTTGGACGATCCTAGTCAGCTCCTTGCTTGGCCGAGCGCTCACTGGGGCCATCCCCTGCCCACTCCAATGTATCTGCCTTTCTCAAGCCCAGGTAAAAATAAAATAAATTTATTTTTTCAAAAATGAATCTTTTAAAAATATAATAACGAAAAAATGAATGCAAACCAGTGGTTTGTCTTCCCTATAAATAAATAAGATCTTTTGTTCAGAGGCGTGTAAAAAAAATTAATGATAATAACATATATGTATACACAAATTGACGGCCTGAGGATGGGGCAATTGCTTCGGGATGCCGATCATCAGGGGCGTTCGTTACTTGTTAGAAATTAAAACAAAAATATAGAACATATTAAATTAATTAATTTTAGCTTATTAATAATGCAACTGTATTAGAGAAATATTGCCGACACAAAACATTGTTTTTACACACCTCCCTCCATCGATCACCGTCCAAACCCATTTTTGATACATTCAAAACATATATTCCTGGTAAATACGGTGGCCAGTGGACAGAAATAGGTAAACAGCGACAGAGGAAATGAAAAATGAAATTTTTTTTTTTTAATAATTCTGGGACTGTTGTTCCTTTAGAACAAATTGTAAGTACAATGTAAGTGCCAGTGTGGCCATACATAAATAAATTATTTACAATATAATAGATGATTAAAAATAAAAAAAAGATAAAAAGAAAGAGAGAGAGAGAGAAATGCATATATATATAAACGAACATCGGAAACTAGAATAACATAAGTAAACCGGAATTATTTCTAGGGGTTCTTAAAGAGTTCTATTATGTACATTTCATGGGTAGTCTGGGAAAGGAGTAGGAGTTTAAATAGGAAAGGTTCGAAAGAGGAAACTGATATTTCATGTCTAATAGTAGGAGGGATAGAATTCCAGCTCGAGACAGCTTGGATTACAAAGGATTTGTCAAACGCAGCAGTTTGGTGAGGAGGAGGATAGAGGTATATGAAGTATTAACTGACTGTCAGTGGTTTCAATTAGAGTTGATTGTTTCATAATCGATTAATGAACCATAATAATTGATCCATAATAACTCTTTTCGAATCAGAAACTATTCTTAAAATTGTATTTATAACATTTAGAATAAACCGAAAACATTCCTAAATTACATTGGCTACCTTAATTTCTGTTTCAGGTGCTCTGCAATACAGGAGGCTTGAACGAGATACCAGTCAGCTCGTTACCATCGACGGTGGAACACCTAAGCTTAACGAAAAATAACTTCCCCCTCATAAGAAGTGATGCCTTCAACGGACTACGCAACTTGAGAAAATTATCACTCGATGGCAACAATATTTCAACCATCAAGCCGTTCGCCTTCCGTGGTCTTCCAAGGTTAAGGGAACTGTCAATACAGCATACTCCTTTAACTACAGTAGCTCAATTTGCTTTTGCAGGTCTTCAGAATATAACTGCAATTCTTTTAGGCCACAATAAAATACACAAAGTTGAGGGCTACGCTTTTGCAGGAACATCGAATGTTCGACTGCTTCTTCTAAACAGCAACCCTCTTCACAAAGTGGAGACGTCAGCCTTTTCCGGCCTGACTAATGTTGAACATCTCATCCTCCCAGCAGGCATCAAATCAATAGAGCCAGATGCATTTAGTGGCCTCGATTCAGTAGGTTTGATCAAGCTTTCGTTTATGGATCTGACAGCTCTTAAGACCCACACCTTTCGAGGGCTATCCCACGTACATGTTTTAGCGATTCAAGAGTCAGACCTCGGAGTAATTCAAGCTGGAGCCTTCGAGGGAATGACCCACGTTAATAGCCTCAATTTGCTCAACAACAAGATCGATTCAGTCCAAGAACTGCATCTCCGTCCTGAGTCAAGAGTGAAGGTGCTCCGCATGCAGGGTAACCATCTATTGGAAACACCACTTCCTGGAGCTATCGAACTAGATGGAGTTGAGATCCTCAATATCCAATCTAATCACTTCCCTTGCGACTGTCACATACACAATCTAATCGAAGGTCCACTAGCAAACGGCTCGGCGGCAGAGTTCAGTGCCAAGAATTTTTGCATATCTCCACTCCAGTACAACGGGCAGACAATAAGCTCAGTGAATATAAACACAATTGGTCGCTGCTCTGAAGGAATTACTCGTGATAACTGGGATGCTCCTAGCACTGCTGTTTTGAAAAAGTTCTCGATTCATATATTTTTAATTACACTATGGTTATTTAGATGAGCGTAAGTGAAACCGAACATTTGCTAAGCTGTTTTTTTTTTTCGTGTTTCTTTCAGCTGCATAATTCAACTTTCAAGTATTTTTGATGTTTGTTTAAACGGTAATTGATGATAAATATTATTCAGCTATTTAAACCTGTACTTAACGACAGTTTAGTAACTGACTTAGGACGATTGGCAATTATACTCCCTAAGGACACATCGAGCTCAACGTAAAACGTATAAGCCAGTCATTCTTTATTTTGCGTATTAACATACATAAATAAAATTTTAGATTGCACCACAAAGATTTTTATAGGTTTATACAAAATAAACCCTTATTGCCAATCAGTTTGAATCAGAAGCATCAACAAGTTACTATGAATTCAATATTAAAAAGGCGTATGACGATAAAATGTTATTGTTATGCTTTTTTTATTTACAAAATAAAAAATATGTGGATTGTAATTTTTTTAATAGGTTATTGTAAAAATCAATATACATATATTTCTAAATTGAGGTGCCATTTATAATGGGCCTGAAAAAGACATTTCTGTTTCTGAATTACATGATTCCGAAATAATTCGATATCTTTATGCATATTTTTTATTAAAAAATCTGATTTTACGATAGCTAAAAAAAAAATTAACTCGGCTTAAATCAAACTTAAAATTTCATTTTTTATAAAAATTATTTAATTTTTCATTATGACTCAAGTTTCGTTGTGTTACTTCATTAAATTAAACTAATTCATTAGTGAGGTCACACATATGAATTAATCACATTTAATGATATATCAAGCTGTTAATTTATATTCGAATGTTTTGACGTTTACAAATAACAAAAATAACCATAATATGAAAAGCCTTATATAAGAGGTGATCAATAAATCGCATTATTTCTGTAAATTAAAATGAGAAACATATTAATTTTGAAAATTAATTTATCTGTAATTGCTAATATAGAGCATTTTATTAAATTTCACTAAAGTTAAAATTACACGTTTGATCTCTATTCGTTCCATACCTCAATTGAAAACTTTTGATCATTTGTTTAAAAAAGAAATGTTATTTATTATTTGAAATACCAGGCTTAAAAAATACTATTTACTTTTTTTTTTAATGCTGTTTAATTTTTTTTAAATTTCTTTATTGAGTTATATTACATTCTGTCACATCTAATAAGGACATTAGTAATAGTGATAAAAGTGTTGATTCACTCCATATGTACAATAAATAAAAACAAATCTAATCAAATCAAATTAATAATAATTATAGTTAAACTTATCCGTATTGACAGTTGTTTTAATATCAAGTTATTTATCGAATATTAATAATATTTTAATATATTTTTTTAACTTTTATGCCTACAAGCCTATATTATTCGAACAGATCGAATCCTGGAAATGAATGGATATGAAATTTATTTTATTACTCTTTTTTATAAAAATACTGCGACTACTTAATAAATCAGACAGGTCCATCAATTATATTGCTTATTAGTAATAATAATTAGCAATATCACTGCATTTATAATACTAATAATGATTTCAAAATACTAATTATCGAGCAACCGAGCTATATAAAATAACTTGTAGTCTCTGCTGTAAAGTTTTTTTTTTTTTTGTTTCTTCTTTTCTTATTAAAATGTATTCTAAGTATTCTTAAATATGCGTCAAATTATTCGTTTTTTTCAATTTTTAACGAACAATGCGAATTATAGGTTCGACTTATCTCAGCTAACCAGTTTGTCATTACTTAAACCAATTTACTATATGTGCCGATGGAACAACCTTTGTATAAAATTGTTTTCGTCAATTTATTAATCGGTACTCTAATGAGTGGAGATGCTGAATGAGTGTTGGAAATGATAATCCATTTGGATTTCTGTAGAACAACATATTGATAAAATTTTAAATAATGGCAAAGATAAAATTTTATGAGCGCACTTAACACTTGCCAGAGCTATTACTCTGTACTTAAAAAAAATCATGGATATAGATTTTATATAAAATTACATGATTTAGTCGTGTATTAAGGGCTGACCAAATCAGTTGTAAATATATTGTAATTATTGTAAATATTCATTTGTTAAATGCTGAATATGATGAACCTGAATCTTAACAGATTTTTAAGGTTACATTTAATTGTATGTTCTAATTTATTTCCTAGACACAGATGTATCTAACTCTATAAATTTGTGTATTAACATATAATTAATTAACTTATGTAAAATAAATCATTTAATTAACATTGAGTAGTAGCTATTTACGCAATGTTGGTTGAGTGAGTAGTAGAAGTGCCAAAATTAAACGCTCATCGATGTACTATAATACCTACTAGTCATGTAGCTTTCTGAAATGTTAGTAATTAATTGCCCACATGTTAATTTAACTTGTTTAATTATTATTTGAATAATGAATTATAATTATATGAAACTACCAATTTGCTAATTTTATTATAAAACCTAATTATAAGTGTAGATTTTATGCAATTGTTGATTGAATCCGTTCCTCTATCAATGTGTTATATTATAAGTTGCTAATTTAAGAATATTGATGTTCAAATTTAATATAGTTTTTACTAAAATGGTATATGAAGTGATTAACAGAAAATTTATATATATATTATTATTTGTCTGTTTGAATTTGGTTACTGAAAATTAAAATTATCTATATTATTGTTCAGTATGACCTGTTTCATTATATGAACAAAATTAATTGTGCTATAACTATCAAAAATATATTGTTCAAGCATTGCTTCGATTTTTTATACTTACCTAAAAAACCTTTACTATAAACTCTACTTTATATAATATGGTAGTATTTCATAATTCTAAAAATCTTTTTATTAAGAAATAATACATTTTTCCACACTTAAAGGCACTGAGTATTAGAACTATATGAAGCACCTTCATACCATTCACCGTTCATAAGAAAAAAAAATAAAATAAAATAACTAATAAAGTTTTTTATTAAATCTTCCAAATTTTCAAAGGCATTTATAATTAATAAAATTTATAATTTCGAGGAAAATAGCTTTATTTAACCCTTGCACTTCTACTCCATGCTTCAATTTATTTTGATTTTTTCAACGACATTTCAGGCAATTTTGCCCGTGCAAGTCGAAATATTTATCTTTGATATTATAATAAAATAATTACAAATAAATATGTAAAAGATATAACAGTACATAAATAGCAATCAATGAAAATTACTAAAAGTCAAATTAATGAATAAAGTCTCAACTTACATCATTATCCTATCATCTATGTAATATTATTTTTAACTGCAATAACTAACAAAAACAAAAGAAATGAAACTTGAAATACAATTAAATAACAACTAAATATTCATAAAAAAAACATTCATAATTAATTCTAATATTTACAGTTAGCCAAGGGAGCCTATTTCCGGCGATGAATTTTTTTTAATGAACGAGGTATAAAACGGGAAGAAATTTCATGGATAAATAACGAATCTCAATATCAAAACCTTAGTACAATAAAAGTCGTTGAAAAATGGGAGGTTTCAAAAGACAAAGGACCGAGAGGGATGAATTTTGTATTAAATTTCCTAATATTATATTTCGAAATTATATTATATAATTCTAATTATTGTATAAAAATTGTAATTATGACGAGGTTCAAATAACTGTCATCGTCAGAAAATATTAAAATTGTGATGGTATATGAAGTCAAGGGATTTTCACGGGAAATGGGAAAAAGGAAAAGGTAACAATAATCAACGGTAGTCATAGTTTAAAAAAAAAAAAAAAGAAAGAAAAAAAAGTGAACACCACCACCACCGGAGAGCAAAAGAAAGAAACTGGGAGAAGAAAAAACAAACGAACAATTCGATCGCTTAATGGTGCGATTGATTTTAGAATATCACTTTAAAACTGGCAAAAAATATCCAAAGATCTTGCAGATAGCAATCTGGTAAATAAAATAAGAGGGAAACACTTTATTTTCATATAAAAGCTTGCTGCCAAATTATATTGGGTTACTGGGCACACAGCATACTGATTAATCTTTAGGACAATCAATAAAACTTATATATAAATATATAGGTAAGTAAGTGATATAATATATATTTATATATATATTTTTTTTTCCTTGTTCGTGCATTTTTTTTTTTGTTTCATTTAATTTCTCTTTCTCTCCCTTATCTCTTTTTATCTCTATAAGATGCTACAAGTATTAAAATGCTTAAAACTATTCAATATAAACAATAACAAAAACAAAAGTGTATATAAATAAATACATAAATTAAAATTCTCACCCTTTTCATGCACGAAGTGGTGAATGATTCCCAGAGAGTCGAGGACTATAATTTCAGCCAACCTCGCTACGTCCTTAAGGTCGACACCAAATTCCTCGATGAAGATACTAGTTCTTTTTGGAATCGTTCCGCGAGACCCAAACCAGAGGTCTCTCACGATGAACTCTCTCTCTCTCTAAAGGTCTCACGGAACTTCTCTTTTAGGAAAGGGATACATTAATCATGTGTGTTCTTCTTTTCCCTTTTCACTTCACTAGCCTGATCAAGTTCATAGCTCTCAAAGCAGACATGTGGATCCAAGATCAGCGCTGTCCTTCCAGTCTTGTGAAATGCGACAATACCCGCTAATCTTGTAGATCCTTCACTGTTGATGCAATAGACCTCTTCAAACCAGGCGAATTCATTTTCTGAAAGGAGCATCATCAACTCGAACTTGAACCTATGGTGTCCATGTGTTATGAGGAGGTAGTTGTTGGGGCATTTTTCGAGCACAGACTCTAAGCCGCATTTACGACAGAAGGGCCCAACTTCTCTGACCTGTCCGCTGACACCTGTAACTCTACGCAGGGGTACATAATTAAAGTTTAGTTTTAGGGCATTCGACCATTCAGACCCAGAAAGTACTTGCTTTTCATACATGTATTTTTTCGCTTTCGGGGACTCTTTAAAATGGCGAACTCCATCTGTAGTTGGCCCATTCTTCAAACGAATTTTCTCATAGCTACTGACAGTAGAGCTCA